AAAATATTAATTCAAATATTTTGAAAATGACATTGTTTATATAAAATAAAATGGTTAATAATATACGCAAGTTTCAAATCTCCACGTCAAGTATTTTGGGATTACAAAAAATTACTAAAATCGTTATTTTTCGTTTAAACATATAATTTTATTCAATTTCGTATTTTAAATATCTATAAAAAAAAAATCAAGTTTGTATACTTCATTTAGATTTTTTGGTTGCTGTATGAGCTACTACCTACTTATGAGAAACCTGCTTAAATTAAATTTTCAAACTTTTTAAATTTAAAGTAAACATTTTTAACGATATTTTAAAAAAAAAAAATAAAACAAATGAACAATTTCAAATGTTTATAAAGAGTTCGAAAATAATCAAAATATTTTTAAATTCAAATTATGTACAGAAATGATCATATTTAGTGAAAATGTCAATTATCTACGGTATTATTCATTTCTAAATTACAAAAAAATATCAAAACCTACTGTGGGAAAATAGTTATTTAACTAATGAATATTTAACTTAGACAGTAGATACTGAGTATAGTAACATTTAACTGTAAAAATAATAACAAAAATCTAGTTTACCTAACGCTCATGCAATTTTTTGAATAGGTATTAAAGTATCGAGTTCCTACAACTTCTTATAAAGCTACAACCACAAACGTCGTTTACATGTATAGACTATTTAACACATCTTGAATTTAATATCCATGACAATATGACATGTCGTAATGTCTTGGAGGTACCTACATCAGTTGATATTAATAATATTTTTATATTTTTCAGTTTCAACTTGGTACTTTTATACTTTTGATTAAACAAATTTTAAAAATTTTAAAATAAATGTTTCATGTATTTCATTACATATTTAGATGAAAATTGCAACAAAAATATTTACACATTTTGACTTTTTTATAACACATAAATCCTCAACTCACAAATAAATACCTAATAATACTAAATAATAACGGTTGACGGTTCAACGGTAACGGCGCGTGACATCTAGCGGCAGATCGACGCATTACGTATTTGACCGATATGTGGTTATCACTAGCCGCCGACATTATCAATAAAAAAATAAACCGAAAATGTAAACACACGCCGACAGGTGTATTATATTGACACATCAGCAACCTGTAAGCGGCCAACGCAACTGCCACACACTCAGGTCCGGGTGCCAACGAGTACAGTCGCTTTCCGATCTTCAATGTATTTCACAGTCACTCTTAACCCACTAACAGTCGTACTTTAAGTCTCTTCCGCCTGTGCCGTTTCCATCAATTGTCACGTCTTGTATTAATACGTGACTAAACCTCGATATTTGTGCAGCTGTTGAGGAACTGTGCCGTTTCGAAAATGGCCCCTATCAAAGGCAGAAAGGCTGCCGCCAACAAGAATCTACCCATACTCAGCCACGAGTTCATCATCCAAAACCATGCAGACATAATGTCCTGTGTGGCCATGGTTATTGTAATCGGTCTCATGGTCCATGTTAGTCTAGACTCCACAGCTAATTTTTTATGTTTTGTTATTTTTCTTATGTTATATTATTTTTATTTTACATCGCAGGTAACCGCACCAGTGTCTTCGTTGTTTGTAGCCCTGCAATATGTTCAGACCTCTGGAGAAAATACTAACGCTGTGCAAACATATGGTACCGGTCTAAAGGATTTGTTTGCTATATTCTTCTATTTTCTCATTTGCATCATATTCCATGCCATCATTCAAGAATATGTTTTGGATGTAAGTATAAGATAGATAGTTAATGTAATTTATAAAGTATTAAACATAATATGTAAAAGTTTTAAAACATAAAAACTGCTTATCTTATTCATTGCTAAAAGAAATAAAGTATGAGCATCATTAAATGTTCGTTCATAAGCATCAATCTTTTGTAAAATAATACGTCTATAGTTTGATATTATTTCTAAAATAACATTTGAGCTAACAGTTTATCATAAACTATGACACTAAAATGTTTTAAACGTATTAGGTACATCAATTTGATTTGCTAAATAATTTCATACCTATATATAAAATACTAGAATTTAATTTGTTAAAGTTTAATTATTGAGAAATAAGTAATATTCAAAATTAAAATTGTATTTATGTAATTATTAATTGCTCTTAGTAGTTAATTAATTAAATTTTAAGTGTGTTGATCTACTAATCATTAAAACAGCATTTCTTCTTTTTTACTGTGACCTTCTTTTTGAATTTTAATTTTTTAGCGACCCCATACATATATATATATTTTTATACTTGCATAGATTATTATTAATGATCAATATTATAAGTATAGCCTAACCTACATTAGCGACCTTAAATAATAAGATGGAGACCCCCCAGATTGAGAAACATTGCATTAAAGATTCCATATAAAACTTAGAAATATATATTTACAATCAGTGGTAGATATAAAACTAATTTATAGAACTTGTAAACTACTATCATAATATATACTTACAAAACAATAACTAAAAAACAATTTTTAATAGGATTCATATTTCATAAGTTTTGTGTAGTACAGCACTTGTGAATTTTTTCTTGTTTAGCTTTTAAAATAGTTTCCGTTTAAAGAAATTGCCCATTAGCCTGCACTCTTAATCATTAAACATTTTACAACAAAAAAACAATAATTATCAAACTACTATACTTAATAAATCAAGTTATTATTATTCAATGTTCTGATCTAGCTCAAGTAACAGTTTAAAAATTAACCTAGGATGTGAACGATTTCTAACTCTTTCCTTTTTAAAATCCACCACTGTCTATAATTAACTCTGTTTTTTACAATTACTGAATAATTAATTATCTAATCAATTTTACTTATAGAAAATTTGCCGTAAATTGCATTTATCAAAATCAAAGAATTCACAATTTAATGAATCTGGACAACTAATTGTATTTAATGCAATTTCTATGATCTGGGCATTAGACATTGTTGTAAAGTAAGCATTTTATAAAAATTATAATATAATATAAAATGGAAAGTTCAATAATAATTTTTTTTTTAATACAGAATTTTATTTAGTATTTAAACTTATTTAAATATTTTATAATTATACTCTATATATTTTCCAGAGGAAATTGGTTGGCCGATCTTTCATTAATATGGATTGGATATCCATTCAACACTCTATCATTTTCAACAAAATTCTTTTATATAATCCAATTTGCTTACTGGGCACATATTATACCGGAACTGTATTTCCAAAAAATTAAAAAAGAGGATATGTTTAGCAGAGTAAAATATTCAGTATTGTACTTGACATTTGTATCTGCTATATATATAACTAAGTAATTTTAAAGAATATTCTTATGAAAACAATCGAAACAACAAAATAAATAAATATATTATTAATTCCATTTGGGTTTTATGTTACAGCTTCCATCGTATTGGTGTTGTATTACTATTGTTACATTATATTTGTGGATTTATTAAACATGCTGTTAAATTGATTGACATCACTGAAAAAGAAGAAGATAGTAAAAAAGTTCAATGTGAGTTATTTTAGTGATCTATGAGTAACAAACAATTGTTTTATTAAAATATATGTTTTTATTAGTGGCCCAAAATGTGTACAACTGGTTTTTCTATACTGTACAAATACTGACATTTATTCTCTCTCAGACAATGCTATGGATCGGTCTTAAAAATGTGCAGTACAGTGGAGAATTGCGTGACTTCAATACTCCTACATTTAAATTAATATGTTCAATTGGTGCAATAGCTATACAAGCTTGGATGGTTCATGAATTTTTAAACAACCAGAACTCCAATGGTTTTAATTTATCTGCCTCATTTAAATTAATCAAACCCAAACCAAAAACAACACGTACTGATGTTGCCAATAAAAAACGCAAGAATGCCGGTATTTTATTTAAAAAAATAACTAATATTATTAAAACATTTTATTATATTTAATACTTTTTAGCTACCCGGAAGTTCAATGAATTAACAGAAGCTGATCAGAACATTAAAAAAACATTAAAACATGAAGCAAAAAAAGCAGCCAAGATTGTAAAGAGTGTTAAATAATTTTTGATCAACATGTTGCTTGTTAACTTAGGTGCAATATTTTGTTTATGATCCATTGCATTATGATGGAATTATGTATAAGATATTTTTACATAAATATAATGATAATTGTATAATGTTTTCTTCCTATACATATTATAGATATTATGTAAAATTAGTTTGTATTTAAAATTGTATTGCATATTATTATGATAATTACTAATTAATGTCTATTTTTATGTTATGTATGTTATATTATAAACTTATTAATTTTTAATTCCTGTGAATTATTATATTTTGTTCTGTATTCAATATTTATATTCAGTGTTTAATACTGTAATTGTTATTTTTATTTCAATCATATAAAGCAATTAAAGTGCTACATTTAATTTAATTTTTTAATGAAAATGTAGTACATTTTTTTTTTATTATTATAAAGAAAATTGTATATATTTTATGATTAAGTTACATCAACTCATTAAGTAATATAATATTGTAATTAAATAAAACTCCATTTATCCCCTTCCATGAGAAATTCTTATACAAATTTAAAGTATGTAAATTAAATTAATTATTTAAATGTATATATATTTTATCACTATGATCATTTATTATTATTGTAAAATTTTATTTTTGTTTTGAATAAAAAGTATTTATATATATTATAGTCTATTGTCGGCGTAATATATTTTATAATCATTATTCTTTGTTTTTCATTATTATAGTGATAAATATGAATATTATAAGTTTATCGCTTTATGAGATTATTGATAAACATTATATTAATATGTAACAAGTACTAACAAATGTTAAATTATAACAATTGTTACTGCTTATAATGGTATGTTTTTGAAAAAATATTCAGGATCAATAATATTTAGATCCAACACCTTATGTAACTATGGCAACATTGAAAAAGCTTTATGCAGCATGTTCGATTGAACAATTTAAGCAATGTACTTATTATAATGAAACATATATGAAATTAAATAAATTTTATGTAAGATATTATCCACCAGGTAAGATTATTTTACTAATACAAGTAATAATAGTATATATTTATCAATGTTTGTCAACTGTGATTAATAGGTATTATTTTTGAATACCAGAATCAAAGGAAAATAAAGCAAAAGATTTTGAATTTGTTTGATATTGAACAAGAGTAAGTTTACATTTAATATATCAAATTTAATTATTTTAATACAAACAAATTATTACAACATTACTGGATATTCTAATTATAGGTATCTATATTGAGTGTTTTTAAATTTATTAAGTATTACATTTTTAAAATAGATCAAATGTAAAAGCACTAGCCGCTCGGATTGCGAGCGACGAACCATTAATTACTCCTAAAATATTGCCTCAACTTGAAACGATTTTGCAAAAACTTAAAGATAAAACATTTTTCAAAAACTGGGACAGCGCCCTTAATTTTTTCCATGTTGACAAAACTCTGAAAAGTGGTCATTTGTTACCAATAACAAATGTATCCATTGACAAATTCGGAGATATGTGAGTATACATATTTTAAGACAAGGTAGATATAAGATATCTAAAACAATAACAATAATAGGATATAGATAGGTACAGGTTACTTAATAGGTAATGCTTGAGCGCGCAAAATTATGGGAAGGAATTTTTAAAAAAAAATTATACTATATATCTACGAGTAGGTTATATTGACTTAATTTATATATTTATTCGATAAAAATCAGTAATAATTTCGGTAAGTAAGTAAAAATTACTACCTATATAAAAAATGTGTTCAAAAATATGATTTTAAATTTCCAAAAAAGATGAAATTCTATTGTACCTACTGTTTCTTCATTTTAAAATATTGCAGAAACAAAACATCAAAACATATTCACCGTCAAAATGAACTTAAGTGGTTTAATGCAAATTTCAAATTGAATTAGAGACATTGCTTATTTTGATAAAATCGAGTTAAGCACCGATTCGCATTGAAAAATAAATAAAAATCGATTGGCACTGTTAATGTTTTTCAAAATGTATTATTTTACAACCTCATTCTTTTTCAATTTGTTCCATTACCAATTTCCTTCAAAACGTGTTATTTCCTACACAAACAATATTGTCAATGTTGCAGCTTTGGTACCTACCTATCTTATTTTATTTCAAAACGCGCCTATATTCTTTTGTGCTATAATAAGTGAAATACCTATAATCTATGTCTAAGTATATTCTGATATTCATACATTTTTTACATAATAATTATTCTCTACATGTCAAAACTAAACATTTCTTGTATAATAATTATTATAGCAACCAACTATTATCAAATCAAAATGTGGTATTTAGTATTTACGGTTATCGCATTTATAAATTTTAATTTAGGCCTTTTAATTTATTTAAGTACCTATCCCTTATTTAATTAATTTTAAAATATACCTTATTAATAATTTTACCTTTAAATATACCTTATTTATAAATATAAATTGTAAATAAATGTAATACAATTTCAAATTTAGTTAATTGATTTAAATTACAAACTAATAAGTAGTATCTATGTAGGTACCTATCTACTATAGATATCCTAAGAATAGTAGGTAGGTACTTACCCATCTTACAAAATCACTTTATAACTTATTATCAAAAACTTTACCTTGTATTACCACATGGTAATGTTAAATAGGTACCTACCTAATTAATTTCAAATTTGTATAGAATACATGAATACCTATTACATAAACTGTAAAAAAGTCACGTGCACATTTTATTCATAAAAAAAATCTCAAGCTTATAATAAATATAGGCCATAATAAGCAATAATTATGATAAAAAATATTAATATAGTACTATGGCTATTTATAAAGTCAAATTTCAATAGTATGAAGTCGTAGTAAGTAGTACTTAACTATTATATAGATGTAATTATTGCAGGAATCAATTTTAATACGGTTCAAATTATTTTAGTCTAAAATAATAAAATGAATGAAAATATGTAAGCTTCATACTCTATTTCTTAAATAATGTATAATTTATTGATATTTATTGTCATAATACATTATTAAATCATCACACACACAGAGACTTATTATTTTTTATTCCCATCTAGGATATGGAGTCGGGCACTCTCCGCTACAAATAAATAGGGCTCTGCCCTTTACCACACCTTTATTCAAATAGCTATTTCCGTATTATGCTTTATTTTATTCCGTCTATCTTTGCCCTTTAGTATTCCTTTCTCACTCTTTTCTTTTAAATTTATTACCATAGCCATCGCTGTCGCTGTTCCTGAGTCATTTCTCCTTATAACATAACCGTATCGCTTCAACCTATTGTCTCTCATTTTGTCTATAGTTGGCGCCACTCCAATATTACATCTAAAACCTAATGAATGAATTTTTTTATTATATCCCCGCTAGTGTCATTCTACACATTAATTTTTAGCAAATTAGCATTCTCATATCATACATTCACTCTCTGAATTTTTTTAATGGCCACTATCCAATATTCTAAATTCCGATAACATCCGTACAACAAGATTTGTCTTACAACTGTTATTTAAAATTTATACCTAGACTACTACAATTTCCTATTTAAAAACCTAACTAATGTATTGCTTTGCGCGCTAACATATTTTTAAGCACCTAATATTTCCTATACCTAATCAATATTTGGGCTCGCATAGCAAATCATAAAATATTATTGACTACCTATTTATGGGTTAAATTAATCTTTCTCCTTAGTTCTTAGTATACCTACCTACTTGCACAATGACAGATTTTGGTCTTTAGCTTAAATATATGGAATATAGATATGAATAACTGGATTATTATTGCATATAATACTGCAGTTGCGCCACCGGAAGCTATGACCGGACGTGCAAGATTTGGAATACCCGAACGGGTATGGAGACGTCGACACTTGTCGGACATGAGAACGCGGTGTACGTCGTGTCGTTAGTCATCACAGGAAGGTTAGTTTCATACAATATGTGCAAGTGGCGAGCATCGATGCTCATCTAGACACCATTCCCAAGCGAAACCAAGGAAGGGGAGCGGTAATCGACGACCAAACTAAGTCCAAACCCATTAAATCTGCATCCATATTATCATATTTTACATTTACATTATATCTATCCTTATACAGGGTCGTTCTTTTATTGCAGAATACTCAAAATACTCTCAAAGTTTAACTCGTGTATTATAACTGTAGTTCGGGACCTACAGTGGCCTGTAGTAAAAGAATCACCTTGTACAGAGATATCCCGGACACTATACTTTTAAAATCATCTGTACAGGCGCGAACACTCCCAGACACACACACACACTCACCCATGAAGGTATATATGTGAAAATTTGAACCTAACGTAATTTTCCAGGGTGCTGACCGGATCGTTTGACAAAACTGCGCGAATGTGGTCGTTGGACGATGGTGGCGAATGCCTGTGCACCATGCAAGGTCATTCGGCCGAGGTAGTTGCAGTGGCCTTTAACCAGCCTACGCAGACAGTCGCCACCTCGTCGATGGACCAAACGACCAAATTGTTCAGCGCCGTCACAGGTTGGTGTTGTTGTGGAATCTATAATTTTCACTGAGAAATTACCTATTTATAAACAAATACATACATATATGATATATATATATATATACCTATATATAAAAAGAGAGAAAAAGCCACGACGTGGCCTGAGTTGTATTTAAAGACGTAGTTTACAGTTTACATACCTATAGCCAAAATGTTTCTAGCATTCATAATATCATAATATCATAATATCGATCATAATATCGATCATAATATCGTATAATTTTTAACTGTTACGTTTTATCACATAAACTATACTACTAAAGTAATTAAGTAATTATATTATTATCTAAGTCAATAGTTATAGACTTATAGTAATTAATAGTTATTACTTATTACTACAATACTACTAATAATATAGTTCCTTATACTATAGATAATCTAAAATCCGGCTTTGAATAGCAAAGTTCATATTGCATCCATATTATATTATTACAAATTACAAATAATTATACTTGGGTATCTATATTCATAGACTCATAGTTACATTGTTCATAGGCCAAAATGTTGTCACGCTGAGAGGACACACTGGCGAAGTGGTGGTCAATCAATTTGACAGTGGTGGGTCGATGGTGATGACAGGCTCATTCGATAACACCATCAAGATTTGGGACATCCGTACTGCCCAGTAAGTTAACGTAATTTTAATGTGGTGTATACTAGCTAGATCTCAGGTTCTCATTGTAGGTATACCATTTGAGCACTTACCCTCCTGTAAAAAACCTGCCGTCTTAATTGGATTCCCCGTTAAAAAGCTTATTGTACCAATTGGGCCCAAGAAAAATAACATTTTCCTTCCCATTTTTATAGATTTAAGACTTTCTGTAATAATATCTACTTAGTTATTACAGTTTAAATGTATAGTTAAAAGTGTTTTTTCTAATGTTTATTAATTTTCGTGATTTACAATTGTTTGTCGTCTAACATACGAAAGAATGTTAAAAAAAAATAGATAAATTTTACTTTGGGATATTGAGCCAGGAAAGCTATCCAGTGATAAAACGTTTTTGGTGAGTTTCGGTAGGCGAACAGACAGTGATGTATAACAAATCACGACACCAACGTCTTTTGAGACGACAAGGAGGGTTACGTGAAATTGAGAGTGTGCTGGTTTTCTATTAGAGAGTTTGGGTGTTGGAGTGATTTGGAGTAGAATTTTTTATGATGGGTTTTAACTAAATTAGTACCCAACTGGTTCAATATTTAAATTTTTGTGTAGGGTGATGTTAGTGACATTCCATAGAGCGGACGTGATTATACGAAACAAAGTTGATTGAAAAGCTTTGTTTTTATTTGTGTTGGTATAAATTTCAATTAATTTTTTTTCCTATAAATTATAATCGAATTATATCTCATGGGTTTTTGTTTATTTGGATCCAAAGCCTTTGCAATGTTAACATTTTATCTAATTACTCATAGATGTACTGCAACGTTATACGGCCACACAGCTGAATTGACAGCTTGTCACTACGACTTTGGTTGTATAGCGATTGCTAGTAGTTCATTGGATGGCACAGCCAAGTTGTGGGATGTGAGGAGGACTGACTGCTGTCGTCATACAATTTCGGGCCATACAGATGAGGTAGTTTGATATTCAACACTATTTTCGCTAGTTTCAGATAACCTTTGAGTTTCATTGTTGTTTAGGTACTAGACGTTTGCTTTGATTCAGTTGGTCGTCGAGTGGCTACAGCGAGCAGCGACTGTAGTGCCTGCATCTGGGATGTAAGCAGTGGTGACTTGATTACCGCAATGATTGAACATACAAGAGAAGTTACAAAAGTATCTATTAAATTTAACTGTCAAAAATAAATTTAATAAAAAAAAAATAATTATTTTATTGTGATTTTAGGTTTTTTGGGAACCAGCAGGGCATTATCTGCTCACCGCATCACAAGATCATAGTTCTATGTTTTGGGACACAGAAACTGGAGAATGCTTACAAGAATTAAAAGGGCATACTGATCACGTATTCTCAGTTGTAATGAGTTACTTAGGTGATACAATATTGACAGCTTCTAAGGATAATACTTGTTGTGTTTGGAAACAATTTAATTCAAAGAATAATTAAAATACATAATATAATTTAATACCATTTTTAATTAAGTAATTGTTGATTAAATACTTGAATATACCAGACTTTTTGTATAACATCAAAATGTAATTATTATTTTTTTTTTCACGAAATATATTGCCATCCTTGAATTGATCCATTATTTGCAGCTGATAATAGTGTATTATGTCCACACATTGGTAACCATAATGCACTACTTGTAACTGTATTTTGACATAAATCTTCATCTTCAGTGAACATATGTCCTTCGTGTTTAAACTTGTGCATAATGTTTCTATTACTATTTGATTCTCCTATTATATACACATTACTGTCAAATCCACTAACAGCATAATTTTGTAAATTACAAGGATCAAAACTAATGTTTATATTGTTATTACACTTCAAAAACAATTCTTTTTGATAAATTGATGGAGTTTTACAGTTTCTTAAATCATATGTAAGTACAGTTCCAGAATTAGAAATTAATGTTAAATTGAATGTGGTTATTTCTTTAGAACTTGTGTATGCAGTATTTAAAAACCATTTTGCATAACTATCAACCTCTGAAACAAAAATATTTTTATTACAATTTATTTAAAGTAGCTTAAATAGAAGAGCACATTAGTTAGATTTTTTTTTAACAATTTTTTACAAAAATGTATACAATTTTATTTTTGTTTTAAATAATTTAATAGGTTTTAATCATATAAATTAGTTATTTACCTACTGATTTAATACTAGTAAAAAAGATTAAAAAGTGAGTCAGGTTCCATATGACATACTTTAAGACTCAAAATTTCAGAAAAAGAATTTAGTATTCTCAAATACAAATATTAGAATAAGAAATACCTAAAAGTAAAAATAATATACATTTTTTAGATAAATGTACCTAAATTACTAATAGTTTGATTTAAATTCTAATCAGTCATCTAAGTACAACCAAATACTTACCAGGTAAATTAACGTTTTTCACATGCTGACCACTAGTTAAATCATACAGATCAAATGATCCATTTTCTGAATTTTGAACAACTAGTTCGTTTTTAGACATGAAATGTGGTGTATAAATGCATACTGGGTCGTTGGGCACATCTCTGATCATGAGTGTTTTTGTATTGTTTTCAATGTTAAAAACACAACCTGTATTTTCTTTTCCCCAAATTATTAAGGTATCCGTTGTACAATCAACGGCTAATTGTCCATTCTCCAATTTGCTATCAATATTCACCAATGGAATCATTTGATCTAAAAATATATAATATTTGTCATATAATACTTACTATATTAGACAACTGAATGACTTGATATTTTTAAGTAATAACAGATTACTTTAATTTAATTTACTTGCCTGATTTATGAGGATTCATTTCATAAATTGAAACTTTACCAACTCCTTCTTCAGATAAAATAGTTTTAGATTTTCCAAAGAGAGTTTTCATCTATTCGAATAAAAAAATAAAAAATAATTATTTTTATTTTAACATCTACTTTCAATAATCATATAACTTATAAGTACTATACCATAATACTTATAATTTTTGTTTACATCTATTAATCGATTATCAGTTAAAGTGCCACATTTGATTTTCAAATCTCTACTAGTGCTTATTGAATCATGTTCGTTTTCAATTTGGTAAAGCTTGGTTGGAAGTTCTAAGTTTAATATTTCAAAACCATTTTCTTCAGGCTTTTCACATGCCAAACATATTGAGGAATTGCAACTCAGTTCCATTGAAAATACCGGTTTATCCACACCAAACATTTGCAACTTATGATACCTTATTTAAAAAGTTATATTTATCAGTTAAAATATAATATTTATAGTTGTCTGAAAATGAAGTATATCAAGAATATTCTTACCTCTTGAAAGAATTAAAAAACCATTCATCAAAAACGTCTTCTGTTTCCAACATTTTACACTTTTTTAAATAATTGAAGAAGTGAGATGATTAATAACTTTGTTTTACTGAATAAAAATAATAATAGTATTTAGAATATTAATAATTATCAATAATCTTGGAGATTTAATAAATCGATACGTGATAATAATTTAATTTATAAATTATAGTTATTACATAGTTAACAAACATTATGCGACACTTTCAAATCCAATTTTCTGTAAAAAAGTTCTTACAATATATATTGTCGATATATACTATCTTAAACCTAGGTATCTTATTATTATAGTTATTTCAATTAAAATAACCGAAAACCTACACGACCATAGAACTTAGAAGATCTTTCAAGTAATTAGTTTAGTATCAGTTTATCAATTAATAGTTATCACTTATCAGACATTCCGACTTCTAAGACCGCGGATGAAATACTGTTCTAGTATCAAAGGTATTTTGAATTCTGATGAGTGATGAGTGCCTGGTGCTGACTCTACTGGTGGTTGATGAATTTAAAATTTTTATTACAATAATAAATTGTAATTACACAGAGTAGAACATTTAATTTATTTAATAATTATTAACAGTTTTATGTTTGATTCTTAGACTGTGTCATATAGGCAACCTGGTAGACGGGCAGTTCACTTTAAATAAAGTTGTTTTTCTGATGTTTATGAATTCATAGTAAAATATTATCAAGTATTAAAATTGACTTGAGTTTTAAATGTAGGTGAGAACAGTTCAGTTATAAATATACTTATTAAATATAATTTATATATTTATATCATTTTTCTAACTTATAATAACTATAGTTTTTTTTTTTTTCAATAGGTAATTACTTAATTTTGAGTACATATAAATATGAAAGGCTATAAGATAACTAATTGTGCACAAGATAAAAGAATTGGTGTTGTTGGTAATTCATTGAAAGAAGTTTTTACTAAAGGATGTCAGAAATTAAAGGTAAATTAATAACTAAAACATATTAATTTATAGATTAATATTTATGTATTTTTAAATTGTATGTGCATTTATCATTATGTTTTACTTGACTTGATTTACCTATCAAATATCAATTGACGCTTTTATTATTTAAAAAATATTATAATAATATTCAGGTAGGCACTTCAGTGTTTTATGAAATAATAGATATATTAATATTTTCATATATAATCAAACATTGATCAATTCATAATAAAATACATAGTTTTATCTCTAGTGAGGTATTTTTTTTTTTAGTTAAATTTTTTTCATTCTAAAAGTGTATATAACGTAGATTGTTTAAGACAGTTAAATACAGATAAATCAATAATTTCTTATAAAATATTATACACGAGACTTGGATTATGTTTTCTTAAAGTAATGTATAATTTAAATTTTTATAAATTACTCACTAAGTTGTGAAATTTGTTTAATATATGAATTTTATATTAATTTAAAATCAATTATACAAATATTTATGTTTTATTTTATTTCATTATTTCATAGTTAGATGGTGTAAATGTGACTATGATGACACTTGACGGTACAGTGATAGACGATGAAGACTATTTTCAATCGTTACCAGCACAGACATTATTAATATTTCGGTTAGATGGGGAAACTTTTGAAACAGGTATTTATTTACAGTTAATTACATTTCGTCACAAATTGATCCTTTGATCACTTGTCGAACTGGAGTCATATATATTTTGACATTTATAAGGTTCTGATCATAATCCTTTTTATTGTATATTTGAAATGAATTTGATAACACCCAAAGATTACCTGTTCGATCAACTCTGACATCAGCTGGATATATATCAACACTATTATCTAAGCTTATTACACCTTGAGTTAATTCAGTATATTCTTCTCCACTGTAATCAATTATAATATTACTTAATTATAAACAATATACATATAATTAATATATTCATTAAATCACCTATAAGCATTCCAACAACCAAGAACATTTTTTAAAAGGAGCCCGTAAAATAAAACGCCAGTTTCCATGTCAAATGATGATGATGTAGCTTGTTTATTAGTACCTTTATTTCCCATCACTTTAAAATCATATACATTTTGATTGATATCATAATTCCCACTGCGTATTATTCTTGAATTAACTGCAAAACCCATTGTACTGGCAACACTATGAAAGAAAATGGTTCTAAAACCATCTCTTGCTGTTGGTGATAGAGCTATTCCATATAAACCTTTTTGAGACTGATAGTGAACTTCACCTAAGTTTATATCGCCACAAAGAGGATCGAAATGAAAAAAATTGTGTGTTATTGCATATGAGTTATTAGTCTTCCAACTGTAGACCAATAATCGATAAGTTTTACTATCTGGTATGTATGCATATGCATCTTCACAGGTTGTAGATGTTACATCTACTTCTATATTAGTGATGTCTGAATTCATCATTGATAAATGTCCAAGATCAAATGTCCTCAGGTGCAAATCAGTTGTTAAGTCGTATACATGTAAAACAGGATTATTTTCTTGCTTGTTGTTTATTTTTCCATTGTCTAATATCCATAAGCGATCACAAACGTCAGCTCTTACTTTGACTACTGATGTAAAATTATGTTCAGATATTTCATGCATTTTCAGATGAGGATAGGGAATTAAGATAGGTGTATTATTTTTATAATAATCCAGATCTAAATAATGATCAAACATTTGTTTTATATGTTTATACCTAATATTTTTGGTATTGTATGAATATATTAATCTTACTTGTTATATTGATGTATGACAGCGTTACTGGTATATCAAGCTTGAATCTAGGTGTAACTAAAAATAATTTATTCTGCCATCGTTCCAAAGCTAGTGGCATTACATTAGTTGGTTCATGTTTAGTGTTGTTTTTAAGTGTTGTCACATCAGTGGGTGAAAAATAAATTTGTTTTAAATTAAATATTTCTTTGATTCTGGTACTCTGTGTTGACGAAAAGTAAATAGCGAATAATATAAAAATAAATTTACACATTATGACTAGAAATCTACAAACCAAGTTATATTAGTTTTATAATGTTTTTGTGAATATATAACTATAATTTTTGCACAATCATTTCCTTTAAATGTATTATTATAGAACAAAAAATGTAAATCGTCAAGAAATAATTACTGAATGTTTTAATTAAATTAACCTGTCAACCATATCTAATGAAGAGTAATGTTTTTAGTACTAAACAATAAGGTGATATACTAACATCCTGTATTGTAGTAATATTTTATAATAATCATAACAGATTATTATTTAATTACTTATTATTTTTAATTATTTGTTGACTGAATTTATTAAAGTTACTACAATATTTTATCTTGTTTAATCATGACTATTTACAATAAATAAATATATATATATATATATATAAATCTTAAAAAATTATTTGATCACTAAGTTCATGAAAATAATTCATATATTTTTTCAGAACATTTTAATTTCAATTTCTATGTAATATACTTATGTGTATTATATATATATTATTATAAAATAAAAGTAAATATTATTTTAAATGTAATTTTTGTTAAAATTGTAATACCATTGTGAAGATTTAACATTTATAAAATTATAAACAATAAATATATAATATTCTTTATTATTTTTTCATCATCACCAAAAATTGTTTTTTTCTATTTTCCTAAAATAATAATTTTATTGCATATTATCAAAAAAGAAATTTTTTACTCTGTTACAATATTGGCATAATATTGAATATGTAATGTAATCATTACTTTAGTTATATGTATTTAATTTAATTATTTTAATTTTTTCAGGGGCAGATTTAGTATATAATGTGCTTGCAGCTATAAATAATGACACATTAAAAACTTCCATTAAAATAAAATCATTTATGAATGAAAACATTAAAGAAAAAATAAGAATATTATCTTCAGTTCTGGATGTAGATCATAATAAACAAAACAATTTATTATCATGCAGTCTAAGATCAAAAGATCCAGAATGGTTTCAAGGTAATTATAATGGTTATTAGGTTTCTATATTACATAAAAAAAGTTTTATATATTTATGTCTTCTACATATTATAAATAATAATATGTAGGATTTATATTTTATATTAATCTATTATTACTATATTTCTGTGTGTTAATTGCGGGTTTTCTAGTGATCGGCGTTATCGATCAATGTGAATCGACCGTCCGTATCTAGACCGGTCGAGCGATATTTATTTTTATTAATTAATTGTATTGTGTGTGTGTGTGTATGCCGATCGGCCAGACGACCTGCGTACAGCTATTATTTGTCAGTCTTGAGATACGTGTCGCGATGACCGTTTCTCTATCAATAAAAATTAATAAAGGAAAGCATTACGAATTTGTCTACGTTTTTATGAACCCCTCTTACAAATAATTTTTTTTAATATAAATTATGCTTTGCCAATTTTTTAAATGACAGATATTTTAAGGGATAAAGGGGGACCATATGGTACAGGGGGAAAAGCTCTCAGAGTGGTTGGTGAGTGAAGGATTAGAAAGTAAAACCTACTAGTATCATTATCATGCTTTCTAAAAATTTTAAATTATAAATAATGTATTATATCAGGAAAAATGAATATTTTGGTCTCAAAATTTTAATTGTTTATTTGGCACTTATGTCCTGATAGATAGATAACAAGTATTATTGGTAATATATATTAAATAATAATTTATAGATATGCAACCCCAATACAATCATTTATTGTTCATTATTTTAACTTGGATTTAAGTTAGTGGGCGCATAATGGCTATATGTGCCATTTGTGAGTAAAATGCAAATTTAAATAATGAGTGATGAATGATTTAATTGGTATTGCATATCAATAGCATTATTTAATCTATGTTGGTACTTAATAGAAGCACTTCTGTATTATTGTTGGCTAAATCTGTGGTACTACCCATTAATTTATTTTATTTAATTAAACAATTATACACAAAAAAATTAAATAGAAATTATAATATTCCTTAATTTTTTAATACAATGATTTAATTAAATGTAATAATAATCAATGAAATAAAATATATCTTAAATACATCAAAACCATTAAAAAATTAGTTATACTTATTATTTTAAATACATGTATTAAAAGAGTAACAGTCTCTTTTCAATATACTTAATGGTAAATTTCTATTAGAAAAAAATTAAAATATTAAAATGGAATATATCTTTGTATTTAAACAAGTAGCATATTAATATTATATTCATGGGTGCCTTTTTTTTTTTTGGAGGGGAGGGAGGAAAGGTAAAGCTCTTAATAATTTAACTGTTTTTTCATAAATTTTCAACTTTAAGTTACTAATGAATAATGATCAACTATATAATATAATTTTAAGTATATTATTTATAAATGTATATACATATTTTTAAGATTTGGACACTAGGGCAAAAACAAAAGAAGAATTCATGTTCAAACGTTGCCAAGAACGAATTCGGAGTTACATGTACAAAACAAAAACCGATATGATGAAGTCAGATTTTTATTTGCAACATAAAAATTGCAGGCAGTATTTGGATGAAGTATATAAACAATTCAGTGAACTTTTAACAAAAAACAAATATCATGGATATTATTTTGATAGATCAAATTCAAACTGTTTATGTGACATGACTGGGACATTTATTTGTGAGGGAGCATGGAATCAGTCTGTTTGTTCTTATGAACGTGGTACTGGTCACAAAATCAATCCATACCAAAACAGAGAGAGTAGAATTATATTTTCTACTTGGAATTTAGACCATTGGTAGAGTATATACATTAATGTAAAATACATTTTATTCTAAGTTAAAATTCTTGAAAATAAGTTTTAATACTTTAAAATACTAAATTTATATTTAATTATAGACTCATAGTTTATTATTGATTTTTATTTTTATTATTAGGGTGGAGAGATCTAGATCTGTAATACCAGCACTGTTTGAAGCTAGTGTAATGGCATCTAAAGTTGGCTGTTCAATTAATATGAACTATTTCTATGATTTGCTTTTCACAACAGTTAATCTTAAACTCGTACATATTGTATGTCATGATAAAGGTCAACACAACGGCGCTAAATGTGATCCAAGCTTGTATTTAAAAGATCAAAAGGTAAAATTTTTAAATAAATATTTAAAATAATATATAGATTTTAGTTATATGAAAAATTTAAATATTATATTACATAAAATAATTATTATAAATTAATTATTAAATATGTTATTTTAAGTCTAAGCACATAACAATAAAAAGTTTGTGCCACTACCACAATGCATATTATGGATTTCGAATTACAAATTAAATTTAAGTCTTTCAGATACTTTCTACTTTTTATATTAGATATCTTCTACTACCTCTTAACTTGCCTTAACTTTTATTATCACTAATAAGTATTCAAAAATAGGTGATCACACGGATTTGTGAATGCTATTGTTTTTTCAAATTATATTTTTATGACTGTTAATGTTTTGATTGATTTATTACCTAACAGAGTAAGCACAGTATATTTATGCAACTTTTAGATTTGCAAAATAAATTAATTTTAGTAAAGTATGGAAAAATAAATAACATCCATTTTTAGATTTGAGTTATGTGTATTTTGAAACAAATTTGTGTTGAATCAGATTTTGAATATTTTCTAAGGTTTATGCAAATACATAAATTACCAAGCATTGATAATTCACTTCTTGTTTAAAAACATGTTTTTATTTAGAAAAATATTATGTTTCAAAATTTATTGTTAAAAATGTGTTATATGTATGTTTTTTATTTAAAATGTTAAACAACTTCAGAAAGTATTATTTTTTTTAAAAACAATGATTTATAGTGAAGATACAATATTATTATTTATAGGCAAACACTTATATGTTTAAATTATATGTATAAAAACTTAAATACATTTTAAAAATTTGTTTATCTATAAAAGAATAATTACATTATATTATTTAATTTCTTGAAATCAATATTATTAAGGTTTTTGGTGTATGGATAGTATGGATATTGGATAATATTATAAATGTAGGTACTCTATATTCCAAATTTATTATTTTTGTATATTGTATCATGTTTATGTAATATTATAATATTAATATAAGATTTTTTTTCACAGACTGTTAATGACTATGTCAATAATCATTTAAAAAATGATTATCAAAACAAAAAAATTTCAAAAATCCATTAATAACTAATAATTATGTGTTGTACGAAATGTAGAATAATGGATTTTCAGCAAACATCTAAGATCAAACTTTAATCTGGGAATTCAGCTATTGAAAAATCAAATTGGCTTTTCTGAAGGATATGATTAATTATAATTTTTTCATCCTATGATAGTATTAATTTTTTAATATGTAATTTGTTATATATAGTTAATACATAATATTCTCTTATTTATTTTTTTATACCATCTTTTACTATCTTTAGTCTTAATATATTATATTTTAAATTTACTTGTTAACTTATTAAATTCTATAATCTTTCATCAATAATATTCCATAAGTTACATCCTCACTAAAACGCTAAATAGTATATTTTTCAATAGTTGTAGATGATTAATTTAAATTGTTCATTTGTCATTACTCATTAATTACCTACTATGAACCCAAAGATTATCTTTATAATTTATTTGAATAAATCATTATAATTGATTATTATATAATATTTAGGGTTTTGATACATTTTAGTTCAATATTAAATGGTACGGTTATTATTTATATATTTTTATATACAAAATAATTTTAATTTTTTTTTTTTATGCATTGTTTATATCTTAACTACAAAGGTTATTAGCTTAAGATTAATATTTCAATTATATTGAGTTAAAATTTTGATTTTTTTTAATTAGAAAATGATGTATTTAGTAACTGATTGCTTCATATAAGTTGTCCAGAATTATGAATTGATTTATGGTTTTAGTGAAATTTGGACAGTGTACAATAATGTGCTTGCTAGAGTTATTTTTATTGTATGTTGAGCATTAGTGTGGTTTTGTCTGTTCTTTATAATGTTCATCTGAAAATTTAGTATACCTAACTAATTTTAAGTTGTTTGAGAACTTCCTCTTTTTTTTTCTGTTTAAATGTATGTATTTGAATTTAAGGTTCAATGGACTATTTATTTCTCTTAATGTTATTTTTGAAATCTTAGTAATTTTGTTTCCTATTTACTCATGCAATATTTATTTGTATTTCTTTGTACATCGATAAGTGACAAAAATTATTTCACTGTTGATAATGGTACCTATATTTATTTGTAAACTCTCAGATGTTTGCAGTAGCAACTTTTTTTTATTGATAGTAGTATTGACTATTGATTCGGTGATACTGTAGAGATTTATTTTTCATGCTTCAAACAGTTCAAACATATAAAAAAAATATCTAAAATTTACCCAAACTGATGAAAAGTTGAACAATTTAGCATTGTTTACCATAGATAATGAAATGTTAAATAAATTGAATTACGAAGATTTAAATGATACATTTGCACAAACCAAACGTTGACATAAACCAATTACCTAATTAATAATATTATTACGCTCAAAAAGATATATCAACATTTTGTTATTACTTATTAATATATATATTTAAGTAAGAATTATGTTTGGTATTTAAATAAAGTCTAATTTAACTACATAATTAATTTATATTTTATAGTAATTAAAAGACACAATTTTTGTGATAAATCAGTATATTATACTTTAATTATTTTGAACGTCAATTTTCCATAAGCTTACATCAGTAAATATGTAAATATACCCCTAATATTAAGGCTGATCATATTTCTACCTTTATGTTTCCTTTTTAGTAGCTATGTCGTGGATTTCATATAAATTGTATATGTTATCTTTATTCAATTTGAAAATAAGTTTAAAATTTTTTATTATAATTGTATCTACATACAAAACACAATCTATTGTTTAAAGAAAACTTTATAAAAATCTTTTTCATACGTCAACAATATTGAATAATAAATATTATCTAGTTATCCAACAGATAACAGTGTACATCTAATTTATATATATAATATAATATATTATGTAGGGTAGATACCTAGATCATAAAACTATAAAAGTATATAATAACAAACATAAAATAAATTGAATACTTTTATAAATGCATAAGATTACACATTTAAATGATAAATTTGGTTAAATAAGGCACATATTTTACATATTGAACAAAAACAGCAAAGTTAGAGATAACTTTACCATATTTACAAGTAATAGGTATATGTATACATTATAAATAAGTACATGCCTAATATTACATCAAAATATATTAGGCCAAAATATTATGTAAACATTTGTGGATTATGATATAGTTTTTGTTAGTTAGAAACAAAATGTTGGCTTTATCAGCAATTATTGCATTTTGTTCTATTATGTAATGCACTAATATCTATGGTGTTTCATTTGCTTCTTACTTATAAAATAATATTAAAATAGGTGCCTTTAGTTTAATATATTATTGAGGCACTAATATTCATAATAATTGACATAATACACTGAGAAAAAAACGATTTGTACTATAGTGTATAATAATTTAAACAAATAAACGATGATTAACTAAGTTCATCCAATTTCAATCAACAGGAGCAACTCTTTTGCGTATCATTTTGGGCATTGTTTAATATTATTTGACCCTTTGTTTTTAAGTATGTTGGTTTATTTTGAGCAGTGTATTTCAAAATCTGAAATAAATAAATAATTTTAAAAATGTATTACTAAACATAAAATATTAGAAATAATAAATTTATTTACTCAATAAATAAAACAATACAGTAATATATAGGCATAAACGTGGGCATGCACGAAATATTCAGAGTTAGTTATTGACTATTTACTTTGCATTATTATCATTTTTTTTTTTTTTTTATGTTACATAGTTGATTATTGATAGACAATAATATATGGGAAAGTAAAAGGTGTTAATACTTTTGCAAAATAATATTTAAAGCATTATGGGTAAGTTGTATAAGAAATAAATTAGAAATAATTATGATCTTCTATTGTGTATATTAGTTATAGGAGACAAACCATTGAATATAGTAGATTTGCCTATTATTATTGTAAGCATTAGTTACATGTGCATAGACATATTATAGGTGTCTCTTTTTCTATATTTACTTTTAATTGTATATTTGTAAATAATATTAAAACTTATTTTATTTTCATATCACAACATACGAGTATGGCAGTGATCATGTGGTTATCAAATATGATTAATATGTTATCGTTAGTGGTTAAAAAAATGTTATCCCTTCAGTCCTTAGCTCTCGTATCTAACGTTAAAGAAAACGTAATTATCGTAAATTGAAATGTAAATACTCATTTAAAACTATCCTGTTGATAATGTTTGCGCAAGTTCAGGTTAATCAATTAATAGTATATAAACTATAAAGGATAGCGGTTCTCTATATTTTTGAGGCCGCGACCTCCTATAATGTCACCAAGATTTTGAGCCACTCTTTTATTATGATAACATTAAAAATAGCGATAAATTAATATGTTTATTTACGGAACTGACATTTCAAATAATAATAATTTTAGTTGAAATACATTTTTTTTTTTTTTAAGTGAACATTATATGTAGGTAAGTACGTAAATATTTTTTAAATTTAATGACTTATTTGCTGTTATTGATTTGAAACTATTTTATCAATCCTTCATCCTTGGTTCTATAGATTTGATTTAACTCATCTTTATGGTTGATGATATATCAAGTCGATTTCTTAGTTTATTTTTAATTGTAGTTATCATCAAAAAAATCCAATTCCACAAAAGTATGTAGTTGAAAAAGGAATCAATTTTTTTAAAGCCTCATTAGTTAATGCAGGATACTCATTCTGAATTTTGACCCAAAATTGACATGTTTTTGTTACTATAAAAAATCTGTTCCAAACTTCAGTGGTTAGGTATTTAATTCTTTTTTTTTTTTTTTTTTTTAATAATAATTATAGAATTTAATTCAATAGTCAATTAATTATTTCATATATTAGTAACCTTAAAAAAAATTGTTGGCAATCTCCAAGGAGGTTATGATCACCCACTTTGAGAATTGCTGGTAAGGATATAGGTACCTACAATAGTAAAAATGTGTGAACGATAACAGTCATTTCCAGTTGTTAAAGTAATTGATACAAGTTATTTATTATGATGTTTAAAAGCATAGGTAATGGTACACAATATGAATATAATATTATTATGGATTGTATTGTGATTTGTGGTTGATGTATAATTGATAAAAATATGTTAAAAAAAAATCTGTCAATTACAATGTAAAACTATACAGAACGACCTACGATAATAAAATATTTAAAGGCTATAGCCGGTTGGTATCAATTCATTATTCACATACCTAGCGCGCTCAGAAAACGTTTAATGTAAATTCAATTAATACAACAAATATTGAATTGTTATGAGTATTTACTTAATTGTATATATACAATATACATAATACGTATGTAATATGTATACATATAATTATATATAAATCATAAATTTAATATACTAAGTATGAATAATATATATCATCTTAATCTTATACAAGTATACCGTTAAAACATTAAAAATACTTGTAATTATAAATTTACCATAGGCATATAAGTATATTATTAGAGTATTTCATCCTGAATATTGATGGTTCATTGTTTGTCAAATTATATTTAATAATTTTGTAATTTACGAAACTACCAAATAAGGATAGCCGGGTAGACATAATTTAAACATAGGATTATTCTGTTATAGTAAGCACTAAAGTTAGCTTGTGTTATGCCCCAGGAGGTAGTAAAATAAATATTCTACGATGTCTTGAAAAAAAAAAAAAAAATGTCATTAGGATAATTAACAAAGTAAGTAGGTTTATACATGAAAAAATATATTTTTTTAGAATTCATTTGGCTATAGGTAAAGTGATGTTATTACATTAATAATAAACACATAAATACTAATAAGTCCATTAAAGATTAATAATAATTATTAAATTGTATGTTTATATGTTTTTGATGAATAACAAAATATTATAAAGATCGGTAGGTTATTATATCATATTGCTGTTATGAAACAGTGATATGTACATATGTAACAAATTTAATATAATATACTTATCTACTACCTATTTTTGTATACTAGCATTTAGAAGTATTAGAACAGTTAATAAATATATTTACCTGAGACACGAGTGTCTTGGCCGCGTCATCAATGTGAACATTTTCTTTAGCTGACGTCTCGTACCATGCGGTGAACATATTTTCTTTGCAAAATTCGTCCATCTTAGCCACACTATTCACCATACCTTCTTTAGTTTCATCACACTACAAAACAATGAAATCAATTAAAAATAATTAAGTATTAAATAGGTATAGTGTGGTAACACGTCTAGTTTAATTTATTGTGAACACTTTAGTAGCACTTTATACTTTCGAATTATCGATATTTCATAATTTATACCTCCTAATCTAAGGAGTATATAAGTTTGGTGTTACTGTAATTTGCATTAGTTATAATTAGTTGCATGTTTACTATATGTTTCTAACTTTTATCCTTATTTAGACTAAAAATAAATACATTTTAAAATATTAAGTCATTAGGTACTCATTAGAGGTACCCACCTAATTTGATTGTATATTATTATACTTGTGTGAAAAATCAAAATAAATAATGTAAGTCACAAAAATATAATGAGTATGTCAATAATATTAAGGTTGCTATATTTTTCTAACTTCCATAGCTCTTTAGGGTAAAATACATTATATAAGCATACCAGCATATGATATTTTTTTTTACAAAAAAAACTTAAATGACGGGTCTAACAGACAATTATTAAATAGATGTTTAAAATTAATAAAATTAAGAAGTTGTTAGCTAATGGTCTGTTAAACATAATTTAATAGCCCACGACTGTTCCACTATATTTTAGTGTAACATTAAATTAATCAATATTTTAATGCAACTTATCATAAGTGTATAGATAAACTACCAAGTATATAACTAACATATAAGCCTACAGGTCATGACACAAAATGCTTATCTAAAATGATAAAAAAAATTAAAAGAATTAAAAACATTAACACAAAAACTGTTGAATTACACATTATACGTCATAATTGGAATGTAAATCAAGTTTAAAAAAGAGGGAAGTAGGTAACCGTTCTGCTGTACAGTAATATAGTTTACTATCAGTAATATGGTACCTATTGAGATTTTTGTTGAAAACATCGAAATTATAACAGAATATATATTTATATCCTAAGTAAACTTTAATTAGACGTTAAAAATATCAATTATTTTAAAATTCTCTTTCAAAAAAATTACACTTTGGTTATTACTAAAACAAAATAAGTTATACAATAAATTTACAGCATTACTGAATTACTATGACAAATTATGATTTCAGTAATTATTAATAGTTGTATAGCTTAGGTTAGGTTAGGTTTTATATTGTATTTTTTAACTGTGAAATTCTATTTATGTTACTCCATTATGTATGATTAATAAATATGTACTTATTTAGTTATATTAATGCTTTAGTTATACAAGACAAATGTATTTTAATTATTCATTGTACTATCTATTTTTTGAATTTATATTTTAAAATGTTAACTTATGGACTCTCACACAAATATATTCAATGGGACCCATTATCTTTTTGAAGATAAAAATAATATATGTACCTACATATATTCTTGTTAATTTTTGAGTCAATATCGACTTATCGTTAATGGTGTTAATAGGCACGTGGTATAAAGAGACAATAACATAAAATTAATCTAAATATTCTGAAAATATTATAGTGCATATAAATTATAATAATAAACGTAAGAATTTCAAGTACCTACGAATCATAATATTTTTGAATTACAACGAAAAAACTAAAATTATTTTTGTTATTCTTCATTTCAACAAAATTTAATCTTAAAATGTCTATGAAAAAAACTGTATTTATATATTTTTTTTTGATTTTTTGGTTTCAGTATGAACGATTTATGAGGAATTTCGTATCAAGTATTTTAACCGAACTTAAGTATTTTTATTAATACCATAAAAAAAACTAAACAAATTTAAACCCATTAAACGCCTAAAAATAATTTAAATTGAGTCTAAATATTTTGGTAATTTCATTGAGTATAGAAAATAATAATTTGAATACTAATTATAGAATGTTTTATGTTTCTATGATTGATATTTATTGGTTATAAAATAAACTAAAACTGTTTGATCAAAAATCGCTATTTTACGCATGCATATCCGATGTCGTCAAAATTTTAATTTCAGACGCCCATGAAAAAATATTTTTACAGTTACGCTAAATTTTTTTATTTATTTCGGTATTAAAAATTAAGGAGAAACATTGTATTAAATTTTCAAGATTTTAAAATATCAATGATTTTTGTATCAATATTTATAGAAAAAAACTTAAAAAATTGAAAATTTAAAAATGAATGTCTACCTATTTATGTAGCTAAAAAAGTCAAAATCTTTGATAAATTTTACTATGACGTACAAAATTTTTTTAATATAAATATTTGGAAAAAATGTCAAGTATCTACGATTATTTTTGAATAAAATTATAATAAAATAAAAAATTTACTTTGCCAAAATCTTGTTTTTAATTCTAATGCTCATTTTCTCGATTATTTAGAAAAGAACAGGAAACTTTTTACTTTTGACATTGTAAAGCAGCAAGTATATTCTCTTTCCTGCCAATAACGATATTGAAGTTGAAGAAAATTAAAGCATTTTTTTTACTATAAAAAGAGTTTTTAGACACAACAAATAAACTAAAAAACACACAACGCTGTAAAATCAATGAATTTATTGCTTAGTTCAGAATGTAAAATATTTAAACTTTAAAAGTAAGTAGGTACTTATTTGAAACTCTGAATATTATACTTATTTATATTTTACATTATTTTACGTTTCTTGTTTCAAAAAATTAGCTAGCGGTTTTTTACACGAATCAATTATTTTATTATTGTCCAATTGTATATAGGTATTTACTTTATTCGCAAGTAAAACGCATGGTATTGGACTTCCGTCTTCCAACGAAACTTTTGCATCCAAGTCTTGTTTCCACTTGGCGACTGCGTCAAATGTGGCTGGTCGCGTGACGTCAAAAACTACGAATGCTCCAAGTGCGTCTTTATAATATACTCGGGTCATGTTCCCGAATCTTTCCTGACCTATAGTAAGTACATTAAACACATGGTTAATTATTGGTATTGATTGGGTATAAATGATTAAAAAATAAATTTAAAATTTGTAACTCAATTTCGTTTTATTTTCTTTTTTAGGAACACAATTTCGTTTAAGTAGGTACCTATTTGTTAAATAACAAAGGAATAACATGATACAATTATGTACTTAATAGGCTTCAATGTTGTCAAATTTATAAATTATTTAATTTTCAAAATATCACAACAAATTTAAATATATTTTATTGTCTTATTGACTCAATTTAGTAATTATAATGCTATAGTTAAACATCATTATGACAATTATTTTTAAAAAAATGCAAGAATATTAGGAATATAATAGGTGTTTACTATTAACTTAGCTAAACTTGTCAAAATTACATTTCCTAGGAATGTATAGCTAGTTACAGATAAAAACATCAACAAATATAATATTTAAAATTTTGTTTGTTACCAATTCACTATTCCACTATTCAGGCAACAGTCAGTCGAGTATAGGACAGTTGTCTTCCTAATATTTATTTATTTATTTTTTAAAGACTGGGAGCTTCTTTAACATAGATATGTATAATTTGTAATTACATATTTCGTGTAAATATGACCATGCTTAGGTATTTAATGTAGTTAAATTAACAATATAAATATGTTGTAACTAAAAATAACAAATATTATGTGAAAACTGAACTTATTTAAACGATCATAACTTAAATTTAAAATAAAGAGAAAGGTGAAAAAACAAAAAAATAAATATTTAGGTTAAAAATATAAATTTAAAATTTAGGTCTTCATATATTGGCGTTTGACATTAATCGTTTTAGATTGGCTCATTAGATAAATAATTGGTGGTTGCACGAAGAACATAAGAATAAGTTAAATAGTTCAATTTGAATGATAAGGTAAATTTTTTAAATATATAACAAATAAGCGTATAATAATATATAATACGAGGCAACTGCACGTGTTTTCGCGTTTCAACTTTTTAATCTTATAGAAAACATCGTGGTTTGCCCAACACAATATTAAAGTACAATCATTTTTATAATGTAAAGATATGCTCACCGGCTATATCCCATAGTTGTAGCCGGACGACGGTATTGGAATCCCATTCAAGCGATTTCAACGCGAAATCTACACCGATTGTAGCACGATAGTGTTGCGAGAAGAACTTGTGCACGTAACGTTTGATTATGGAAGTTTTACCGGTACCAAGCTCACCGATGACTAAAATCTTGAACAAGTATTCTGTAGGAGTTGATGAATTTCTTGACTGCTCGTCAAAACATAACAAAATTTAATTGATTAAAAATGGTTTATGCTTAACATATTATCTACTTTACAAAATGATTCACTAAGTATACTTAATCCCCTTTCTTTTTCAATATTGCAATTATTTAAAATTTGATTTTTGAAATTTTTAAAAGTAGGTACTTAAAGAACATATTTTTAAATTTTTATGATTTTTTATACTACTTAAAAAAATGTCTTTTAGATATACAAACTTCTGTTTTTAAATTGACAACCATCCTTTTCTACTGTAAATTTAGCGTATAATTATTGTGAAAATTTTGACGTACCAGATTTAAAATTCATACAAGTAGTAAGTTTATTAGTAATTTAATTTTGCTAGGTTAGGTTACGAGTAATAGGCCCGCGATAATGGGTTTGGAAGATATGGACACTATTGGTGATTTAAAAATTGTGATGGTTAATATTAATTTATTAATAATAATAATCACTAATTTGTAAAAATGATACAAGTATAATAAATATACTATATTCAATATAACATTTAATTTTTACTTTTTTAAAACCATTTTTAAGGAATATTATGCTACATATAAATATTTTAATAACTGAGAAATTACTTGACCGAATTTGAATTAGGATCATCAAAGTTATCAACTAAATAATTTACATTAAAAAGGGGAGGGGACTTTCATTTGAAAAACATAAGTTGGCATCACTACAGTATAATACTTAAGTAGGTAATAAAAAAAAAAAAAAAAAATTAAAAACTTATATGGTTAGTAATTTTAAAAATGTAAAAACAAAAATTTGAATAAAATGATTATTAAAGGAAAAATGGGGTTGAGCATATGAAAATAGGAGTAAATCATTTTGTAAGTAATAATTTTGAATATCTTTATTTTTATACAAAATATTATAAATCTAATATATTTTCTTCTTTACATTTTTAAAGATATTATTTATGTGAGTATCCACATTTACATTGTAAACTAAAATTGTTTAAGTCAATTTTTTTTTTCTGAAATTTTGATAACTTGAAAACCTCGGTATGTTGAAAACCTTAATAAATCAAAAAAATTGTATTTCCTTTAAATTTTTATTTATCAAGGTCCCACTTGTAATTTATATTTTACGATATTGAAATGAAAACAATTAACCTTTAATATTATTAAAATATAGATAGGTCTTTATGACGATGGGCGGTTGTTCTACAAATATTTTAAAGATGATAAAATTGTAAATCGTTAAAAATTATTTATCATGATTATTTAAACTTGATATGGGATCATCATTTATCGCTTTGAATTTGAATATGAATATTATGATAAATTAATAAATTATTATTGCTATTTAACATTTCAGCATTTTATAGATTATGAATTAGAATTAAAATTATTGCGATACCGTTGATACCCAATGATTTATGATAGTGAAAGATATAGTGTTTGATCACTTGATGTATATATATAAATAAATTTCATTTATCATAATGTCATTGTTATCTAACGATTATTAATAACATACTTATAGGTAAGTAGTTTACTTTCGGTATAGATACCTACATATCTAATTCTGGGACCGCAAAAATGATAACCTAAAAATGTTATAAAATATAATACAAAGAAACTGTATAACAGTAAAAAAGTCCAATAATAATGAATCATGGTGCTTTTTTTCAATTATATATGAATCTTAACAATTATAATTTATAATAATACACATAAGCCATTAAACATTTACAAATACAACGTGTGAATTTGTTATGTATGTATATATTAATATATGTATTTAATAATTTAAAAAATTAAATTAACTGAATTTATATTTTATTCATGTTGGAAAATAACACGGAAATATATATAGTTATTGAGAAATAATTTCATAAGAATAAAAAATGTCCAAGGCTGTAAAAACTCCAAGTGTCTTAAGACAAAATATGTACGAAATTCATTATTTCACAAATAGATTCCATTAGATACTTAATCATTAATTTGTTATTAAGATTCATACTAAGTATTTTGTTTTGTAAAATAAGAAAACAATTGAAACTTATTTATTTATGCACATCCAAGTTATAGTAATATAGTACCAGTAATAATAAATTGTAATACGATTATGTTTGCAGTTGGCAGTTGTTCAATTACCTATTTTAATAAAATTATGGTTCTTCAATATACATAAAATATGTATATTATTCATAAATATATATATAAAAATATAAATAAGTATTTGGAAATTTTAACAGTAAATGTCAAAAGTATAAAATATTTATATTCTATGAATATATATTGAGTGAATGTTTTATGTAAAATAGTTGGTATAATTCTTTACACGTGTAACATACAGTGGTGGTTATTATATAATACTGTAATATAATATTTGCAAAACCAGAATTTGAATTCTTATATATTTATATTACAATATTAAATTTTGTTTTTAATTTTATATAGCTTCACCACTTAAGAAATGAGTTTTCCTGCTTTATGTCTATTATATTACATCTCGTAAAATATCTATCGATTTTTTTCTTCCTGTGCCTTTTATAATTTAATAAATGTACCAGTGCGTATATTTTCAATTTGTTTTTCTATTAAGTATACCAATTATACAAATAATATACGAGAAAAAAAGTATTGGTAATTGATTTATATGGTATAGTTAATCATACGTTTCCATAATAATAAAAATATATCATTTCGTATTTATAAATGTCTTATTTAATTTCAATAAATATTATTTATCATTATGCAATTATTATTCTGATAACTAGGTCTTAAATAATTGTTTACATATTTTATATTTAAAATTATAAATATTTTACATGAATTATAATTTATAGCTAGAATATACAATACTAATAGGTATGTAATAAATAATAATATTAACACAATTTGTTATCAGGGTGTGTAGAGGAAGTGATTGAAAAGATTTAGATTTTAGATGAATCATCTAAATATTATTTTATATATTTGACTAATGTAACAAATAAACATTAATTGATTTTGATTAATAAAATATTATATAATAAATTATAAATGTAAAAATGTAATGATTAAAATATGTATATTTACAAAACTACAAGAGTATAATATTTTTAAACATGGGAAGTTGGTAATTATAAATTATATTTATGATAGTAAAATGATATTAATTTGAAAGTTTTGGAACTTTAGCTTAAGATTATAACCATTTATAGTATTACGGTTCATAGCTATCGAAATATAAGGCTTCAATCAATATATAGACAAAAAATACATATAACATAATATATTAACCTATAATCTTTCGTAATGAACACCGTAAAAAACTGTTGTGAGCTAATAAAATAAAGGGCGAGGGGACAAGTTTTACTATAGAAATTATAATTAATTAATGAAAACCGTCAGACAGTATTTTAATATTATATAATATATTATGCATATTTACAAATGGATATATGTAAATATTATAATTATCTATGTAACGAATTGCGTATATTTATGGAAATGTGGGTTTGTTACCCCTTATAAATTGGAATGTATTGTACACGGGGCACGTAATATACATTTTAGTAATTATTATACTTCATACTAAAATAATAAAATCAAAATTTTTGCCTGGCCACAAGTATTAAACGGAAATACACAGCATATTATACACTCGATTATACATTATACAATACCAATTGTATAGCTATATGCATTTATAAAGATAACACGAAGGTCCGTTATTAAGAGGAAATGGGTACTCACCGAAAAGTCTATGTCGTCGGCCGAATTTTCCAAAAGCACTCTGTGCTTGTACGTGCGCGACTTAAATGCCATAAATCACAGAATCGGAGAAATGAATGAAAACGCAGTAATGACTGCTGCGATATAATAATATATAATACGTATATTGTATGTAGGTATTCTAAAAAATGGTCACTTGAGTGTTCGCTTGAAAATCGACAAATGAAATGAAAAAGTAACTCTAAACAGTCTAAACTAATATACTGGCAAGGTACATTAATATAATATACGACATCGTTATACACGAAACACCAACACAACATGTACTGATCGCACATTTACATAGTACACGATTACTTTAATATTCTCTTGAAAATTATTGCGCAACTTTTAACATTTATGATAATATCACTTCTGTAGTTATTAATATTTTTCCTCTCCATTCGATTACGTCTGTTCAGCAGTTACATCACTTTAATATACGATGATACTACTATTACTAGTTTATTACTAATATACTTATAGCAATAATAATAATAATAATAATAATAATAATAATAATAATAATAATAATAGTAAGTGTGTATACACATTACTTACTATAGATACACACACACGCACACGTGCTCATTACTATTTTTTACAAATACTTATTTGAGTAAAAGTATTTTAATACTTTAAAATTATTGAACACGATTGTGTCAATGTGTTATTTAAATTTCCGAAATTTTTACAATGGCAATGTTACATAACACACGACGAATAAATAACATTAAAAAATAGTAATGACTTAATTAAAAAAAAAAAAGATAAAATAATACAATTTTAATACCTATTATAAATACGGGGTTTTTTTTTTTTTTGAAAAATGTTTTTGAACGCTATTAATATTTATTCGAGAGGTATTTTTAATGCTTTTTCAAAGGATCTATATAATTATTCTCAGTAAAACTGTTACTAATAATATAATATTATACGTACACACTAGACTTACATATAATTAAATAATACGAATAGTGTATACTGAGTGTATTTACACAATACACTAATAGTAAATCATTAAGAATACCCACAAATAGGCATAAGTTGATATTACGTATTATTATCGTGTTGTTTATAATATTACGATTTACTGTATAAACATAATAAAACATAATAACGTGGGAAATAGTAATGGTATAACAACGCGAAAATATTATAGCATTGATTTAACCCGGTTAATCTATAATAATATAATAAGTAATAACCTACAATAGATAGATACCTATAAATATTACGCATGGTTACGATAAAGCGTAAAAACAAATAAAGATAGGTATAGATAGGTAGTTAAAAATATTTACCATGATTACTGTGTCGTTGTAGTAGGTTTATTTTTTTCACGTAAGTATATCATACAATATTGTTATTGTTTTTATTATTGTTGTTAATGTTATTATTATTATTATTATTTCCGATAATAATAATAATTACTACAATGCTAGCTCACGCGAATCGTACGAATTGTAATTTCGCCGGTTATTTTTTATCTGTCGTGACCAGGTATAACACGGTACGAGCTCAACGCCTCAACATCAACACACTAAATGAATGATAATAATACCACGCGTGAGACCGGCAACGATATTTGAGTAATTATTATCGTCGGCGGACTGTCGTCGATCGTTTCGTTCACTCCAAAACACCGTCTTCGGGCTCCGAATGCGTCCGGCGGAGCACGAACACTCGTCGGCACGAAAAACGGACTGTCGACCGTTCGACGTCGGCGGCGGTCACTGTGCGGCTGGCTAACATTGAAATTCGGTCGCTCAGACCTTCACTCTTCACTTCCGCGCGGTGGCGTGGGCTCTCGGCCCGTCGGTCGCGTAACGTTCGGGTGGCAGCGCTACACTCGGGTGGTGGCGCATGGTGTAAGGCAGCCGCCATCGCAGCCAGCCGGTGCCACTCGGTCCGACGACGCTGTCTGCCGCGGCGGGCCGTCGTAAAAACGTCCTGTAGGGATGACGGTCGCGATGGACGGGCCTTTCCGGTGCACGTCGTGTAAGTCCGAGTCGAACAAACCATTCAAACCGTCAATTCGGTTTAGTCGGTACAGACCGTTGTGGGCTATACGTTGAGTATTATATTATATACAATATATTATGATTATTATGTGATATGAAGCGATGTGATGCTTGTCGTCGTCATTATCATAAGTCGGTGAAGGATAAAAACCGAATGGAAAAACAAGACCGTGGTCGTATTATAGTCGCGTTGCGAGTCGTTGCAAAACGTTGGTGACGATGTACGACATACCAGAAAACCGGTTATGTCAATATTATGCTGCGTTACCGTGAACCGGCGCCGGTGAGAAGTTTTTCAAGATATCTCAAGTTATAAATTTATAATATTATGCCCGAGCGGTGTAGCTCGTATAAAATGTACGCGTGAGCCGTGAAGTATAATATTACTATTATAGTAATCAATGACTTATGAATATATTTTACCGGACCGCCAGAATATTACTGTGCCTAATGAATTTAGGCGTGAGCACAGAGTGTCGTATAGTCGACGGAGAATAGTTTTTCAGGAAAGTTGATATGTACCAGTGTACTACACTCACGCGATTGAATGTTATTTTGTTTGTTCCCCAAACAAACGTCGATATCCCGTCGTATAAAAAACATCGCCCATCAGACATTTATTATCGATCTCGGATTACGATACCGAAGTGAAAACCGTCAAAATCGTATACCTGCAGCAGTAGTTCGATTTTATTATAATAAGAATATCGTGTTTGAACATGACAGAATTATACAATTATTTTATATTGTGTGGGATCAGAACCGCGGCGTGTTATTTTGGTAAAACGTAATTATATGAAAACCGGCTCTCAGACCGTCATCTCGTTTTCGGTTGGTGGACGTGATAACCTTTTCGTTCTCGACGGGTTTCATCGGTTGTTTGTCCACCAATTATGGTGTTTTTGTTCGTGTTAATATTGCTATTAGTTTTATAGGTTGTGTGTTGTATGATTAATGTTGTATAATATCATCGGAACTATACCGATAAGATGCGCGTCCGTCTGCAGAGATAAGGAGATAAGATTATTGATTTTAGACTTCAGAAGGTGGCGGCGTTAAGTCATCGTCAATTGCTACTATTGTACCGCACCAGTTCAAGCTATGCTATAGTATATTGATAATATTGATCTATTGGTTTTCAAACATTTTTGTAGAGGTCAATATAATATATTCTACGCTGCGATATAATTTCTATACATAATAATACATATCATGTACAAAATACAGTATTAAATTGGACATGACATAATATTATGTAACTTATATAGTTATATGAAGTCATCGTATAGCTTTTCATATTATTTAAAATCAAGCAAATAATTTAGTAATTTAATTTAACAGTAAATCTAGTATATAGTGGGTAAGTTGTAAGCAGGCAAATAAGTGGGTGATCTTGGAAGATACCAAGATACCTACCAATGAGTTTTATAATAGTTATGCATGCTAGTGACCAGATAATTTATATAAAATATTAGTAATAAGATTTAATATTATTTATCACATAGGTACATAATTGTAGTTGCAGGAATAGCCAACAAGAAGGTTGTTACTAGCCGTACCAGATAACTAGAATTTATTAGATTATAATGATTTAATTTATTTTAATGAATTAGATTATGTTTCAGTATATTATGTACTTAGGTGTTCTACAAATGATTAAAAAATATTTATATTTTTCTTATAATCATGTAATGCTAAAAGTTAAATAGATTATGTTGAATTTAGATAGAATAACATTGAATTATTAAATTATAATACACACTAGTATAGGTAATGAATGTTAAATAATTTAATCTTCGAAAATCATTATTTTATTATAACTAAAACGACTAATAAATGATGTGTTGTATAGGAGCTCTTTTCATAAATAACTTGATATTTAAGGATAAACACGGGGCATGAACTCGAAGAGTCGCTCTTTCAAACATTGTATATTATCCCATCACAAAATTCTTAGTACTAATATAAAATGAGAGTTTTTTAATTACAATACGAATGTTAAAATAATAAATTAAAGGTAGGTATATAAAAATTATTTCAGATGAAATATTTTATAACGATGCATATATGATATACTCGTACTATTAATCCGGTTTACAAGATATTGCGTTCATTTTTAAATCGTTATTAAAATTTGTAACTATAAATTATGTATAATTTATAATTTAATAATATATAGATAATATAGTAATAGGTCAGCTGAAAAATTATACATTAAAAACAAATATCATATTTTGTTTTGGTCGAAAAGAAAAAATATTACAGTTCAAGTCTTATGTACTACCGTCTACCGTATCGATGTTTTGCTGAATGTTATATTTACAATACTCAATACGTATTAAGTACCTATATCAAAATATATGCACAGATTCTTATTTCCTAATATATATATATATTATGCAGTAGTTATATTATATATGCAATGTAGCATTAAAATAAATTACGGGCGTTTCATAGATGGCTGTTCTTTTATATCATAATATTGGCTGTCGTCACTTGTTGTGTTCATAAAATAAATAAATACTGCAAAAATAAGTACGATAACACAATTTCATATAATTTTATAGGTGTTATGTTTATAAATTTAAAATTTGGTAAGCTAATGATTTATTGTCTGTGTGATTAATAGAGGTTAAAATTAAACTTTTTATATAATATTATAAAATCATAATTATAATTTAACCAATAATCTACATTTTAAATATTAATTTAATTAAAAAAAAATTATAAGGAGGATAAAAGCGAATGTGACATAAATTAAACATATTAGATAAGTATCTAATAGTGTATACAAAAATAAATAGACGTACAAACAAAATTCTATTTGCTACATAACTATTATAGTATTATTTTACATAGTTGATATTTGTAGAATAAACACAATTTTTAATCACGTATAGTCATAGTTTAAATTATTTTATTGTTATATTATCATATACTAAATGACTAATATATATGTTTAATGTTAAAACTTATAATAAAGTATTGTTTTTTTATATTACATTTTGTAGCTATTTATAAACGAATTGTAATTTACCAATTTTAAAGCTTCAACATAAAATTGACAATAAAATAAAGAAAGGTAACCTAATTTAAAGTTTATTTTTGAGAATTATAATATAATGCTTATTGTTTAAAGAGTAATTTAAATTTTGTAATTTTTCTATTCCATTAAAAATACTATTAATTTTTTTAGACTATTGGTGGTTAAAACAAATAGGTAGTACAATTTTTTGTTTCATTATTTTAACAACTTTGATCATTAAAAGTCTAGCAAATTTATTTATACCTTCCGTGATTCGATATCATAAAAACAAATTTTCCTATGCCAGGAAAAATAAAAAGTACACAAAATTTGAAAAAAAATATTAATTACTTATAGTAGGATGTACTTGTACATAAAATCATTATTTTTTTAAAACATTTTTAATAATGTGGCTCAAATTTCATTAAACTTTCTTGGTAAAGAGTATATCGTTTTTGACAAATCAGTCAGTAATTTTGATGCTTATTGTTTTGCTTCTGAAAATTTTTCCTCTCATAAAAGTTTAATGCGAGAGAAATAAAAACTTAATAAATGTTTGCCTTTGTCTAATTAACTGAAAATTGTACTCAACTCTTTACCAAAATTCACGATAGGACGAATTTGTTTTTTGAGTTATAAAAAATACTGAAACCTACATGATAATACAGAAGTATTGTTTAGACATTCTTTGAGATTACTGTTAGTTTATAATTTTTTGAACAAATGGATTTAACGTTGTACTTATTGAATATTTGAATGTTTAGGTTATTTAGATTATACTTTTCCTTATCAAAATTAGATTTAATTTAACTCCAAAGTAGAATATTGAGACGAGGAATCTATAGCTCATTATATATGGTTAATGAGTACAAATAATATCGTAATAACTAATAACTAATAAATAAATTGAATGCTTTAAAATGTATTTTTATATGTCGTGTTTCAATACAGGAATGCACCTCTATTGCCTATATGTTACGCCGTATTATACAATATACTTAACATTAAAATACCAGACAAGATGGTTACTGTGTTGTAAATATTGTCGATACATTTTTAGGGGAACAATTGCTTAAGTACCTTATCTATTTCAAATCATGTCATTTATAATTTCACGAAAAATTTTAAAGTTATACTTTGTAATTTAGTACTCGTAACCAATTTTATGAATTTAACTCTATATTGTATGCATCTAGTAAATAAAAAATTAATAATATGTAATTAATAAATTATAGTAAGTGAGTAAAATACATTAATTAATTTTATGGTGATATATATGTATAGTTTTTGAAGAGATTTAAATAACATATTTATTTATATGTAATCAAGTCATGTCCTCAATTTTTAAGTAATTAAGTTAAATTTTTTAAAAATTATTTATGTATTGAAAATTATGAAGTCATATTATAATTTTTATTGTTAGAAGAAACTACTTTAAAAATAGAAGTTTTTACATAAAATAAAATAAGAATAATGAATAGAACAGTAAGTACAGCATTAAATCTAATAATATAATGTTATAATCTCATATATAATTTATAGTATTTATGTAGAAGGAAACTCTAAGGTGGTGAAATCGAAATTCAATGAATACATTATGATGTAATAATGTATGTTGGCTACTTTCCCATTACAAGTTCTTGTTAGGGAAGAGTGCAAATATTATTTTTTAATGTGATTCTATTGTGTTAATTGATTTTA